TACCAAAATCATACGATTCTAACTGATAGTTCACAAAATATTATATTAGAAATCTTTAATGCGCCGAATTAGGCACCGTGCTAAAATAAGACTGTGTTTTTAGATAAACTTTAAAAAAGTAATATCTCGTGATTGAATGATCGAAATTAGGTGATTTTGGCGCCATTCGATTCGTCTTGATGTGACAAATCGAATGGTACCAAAATCATTTAATTCTGATCGACATGGCACGTGATATGCATCGTAGAACTTAACTGTGCCGAATTAGACATATCTACCTTATAATGATTTATATTTTTAATAAATAGTGTAATTACTCGAAAAATACCACTCTCGAAAGAGGCATGAATTTGGCTGTTAAACAGTTTATTATTTACTTGAGATATCCTAATCTAATCTTTTACATTAGATTATATACTGCATATATATATAATTTAACTATATGCTAAATATGCCGTATATGCTAATTATGCTAATTATGCTAAATCTACTCGATCTCCTAAATCTACTAAATATTCTAAATCTCCTAAATCTACTAAATCTGCTAATTTTACTATGCGCCAAATTATATTTACTAAACAAATATGTGATCGATCGGTTAGAATATAGTGATGATCGATTTCCAATCATGCCATTTTCCTACACCTAATTTGTTTATTCCACAAACAAAATCAAACCTCCAGGATCAAATAAGCTATTCTCATCATTGAATGTTTCGTTGATATTATTTGCATCGTCAGATATTTGATAATTATTAAATGCCTTATGTTCGTTCTCTTCAAGTCTGATTCTGTTTTGATAACAGGATCCAAGTTTATAAGTTCTTGTTTTATATTCATTCTTTTTATTTTTGCTTCTATATTCATAACAACATCCAAGGTTATATCGTCTATTCAAATTTCTACCTTCAGCAGGGTTCAAATATTGTTCGAACACTTTTCGTCTGTCTTTAATAGTCATTTCATTACTAATTCCATCTTCAAACATACCACTTTTTCCCTTTTTAATAATTTGTTCCACGAATTTAGATAAGTTTTTAAAGTTTTTGACTTTTAATTTCGTCATAATAGTCACCACTATATTAGTCGAACAGCTCCATTTTCGCTGATTACCAAATTTATTTGATTTTCCTCCGAGGTCAAACCTTTCATCAAAGTACATACTTTGTTTTATCAAAATTGTACCACTTAACAGTTTGATAAATGAATGCTATATATTCATCATTTTCGACTCCAATGCTATATTAATAACAGTGTCCAGCATCATATAATCCATTAGTGTTACCAAAATCAGCAGCTTTTTAATGGTAAGCAAGTGCCTTTAGATTATTCCTTTTGAATTCGAAAAGTTCAAGATCGTATGTTTTATTATTAGCTTCAGCAAACTTTTGTTGTCAATTCCATTATTCGCATTTTCTGAGTCGTTCTTTATCATTCTTTTAAATTCTTCTATTCTTTTCGTCCAAGAGTTACAAGCATGATTCAAATCAGCGGATTCTTGGTAATAACTGAATGCCCCATATTTGTCTGTTTCAAGTCCAACTCTATTCAACTTACTAACCATGTTCTTAAATTTGTCTGCCTTTTTCATCCAGATTTCACATGCATGATCGATCTTTTTACTTGTAAGTATCTCGTTTATATTGTCATTTTTATTTGGTACTTCATCATCACTATTATTACTCTTTCAATATTGTTCATTATTCCATTTTCTTCAACAATTGTTGTTTTATTATCATTGTCACCATTAGATTCATCATTATAATATGTTTTGTTTTTGTTGGCTTCATTGTCACTGGTATTTGCATCAGTATTATCATTGGACTTAATATCACTGGTACTATCCTGGTAAGTTTCATATCTGCCTTTTTCTTTCTTATTTTCATCACAATGACTGACTCTAGATGTTTTCTCTGAATTAATCGTTTTGACCGATTTTTCATTTTCATCACAATGTCCGACTTGTGATGTTTCCTCTGAATTACTCATTTCGACCGATTTTTGGTGACAGATCTAATACTATTGACCAAGGTTATCGAGTTTATCATCTCCTGTGCTATCAGGTTCAAGGTTTCTTAATTCATATAGATAGGTCTTGTATTCATCTTTTTCTTCATCTTTTTTTATTTCAATTCCTTTTTGATAACAATTATCAATGCTAAGTGTTTCATCATAAGTATCCATTTCAGCATGTTCTTGAAAATCGAATGTCTGGTATTTTCTTTTTTAATTTCTTGGTCATGCCATCTTTCGTTTTTTTCATCAATTGTTTTGTCTTTGCTATCTTTGACACCGTTAGCTTCTTTTTTCTTATCATCTTTTAAGTCATCGGCTTCATCACCACTTTTTTTGCTAAGTTCGAAGATTCTTAATGCCTCAAAGTTAATTTCTTCGTCAGCTTCTTGGTAGTAATTGAGCGGCTTATGATCGATTCCAATTCCTTTTTCATAGTAGTGTTCAACGAGGAACATTCCATCTGAAGTTTTTACTTTAGTATTACTGCTTTCATTAAAATCACTCATCTTGACAAAATTTTGCTGATAAGTAAATGCTTTATGTTCAACTTTTTCAATTCTAATTTCCTTTTTGTAGCAATCTCCAATTTGATACTCCTGGTTTTCTATATCGTCATTGCTCGTTCCGTCCGAATTACCCATATTACAAGGCATATTTCCATTGTTTTCGTTAATTTCGTCTTTCTTATTATCCAAATATCCTACTTCGAATTCCTTATCGTTACTTATATCATCATAATCGTCCTTATCATATTCAGCTATGGGTGCCTTGTATACATCTATTTTGATCTCAACTCCACTTTGATAGCAATACCCAAGGTTATCGTATGCATTCGTCCCGATTTTATTTTTAGCAAGGTTTGAATAAGTTAATTCAGGATTTTTTCATTTTTAATATTAATGTTATCTGGACATTTTAGCTTTTTATCTACAATATTTAGACCATTATTATTGTTCAAATCTTTGCTAGTATCATCTCCGCATTCGAAACTTCTTGACCTCTGGTAAGTTTCATGTCTTTCGTTCTCTTCTATTCCACTTCCATTTTCGTAGTCAAATCTGACTTTAAATATTTCTTTAGAATTATCCATCTTTGAAGATTTCTGATAATATATAAACGCTTTATGATAATTTTTTTCGAACTTTTCTTTATTTCGATCATAATGCTCGGGGCTATATGCTTTATCAGTATTGCCTATATCTGCTGATTTTTGATAGTAAATGAATGCTTTATATTCATCTACTTCTGTTTCAATTCCATTTTGATAGTGGTTGGGCACCTTCTTTTAATCCATTCTGAATTCGATTCTGTTTTGATGAAGGTTGTTGGTTTTATCCTCATTGTGATATGCAAAATCTTCTAACTAGTTCAGGTAATCGTTGTTATTTACCATTCCATCCTTGTAGCTAAGTTTAGCATCATTTGTCTCTGCTGATTTTTTATAACAGGTGAGTGCTTTATACTCGTCTTTTTCAGCTTCCTTAAAATTTTTATCATTTGCTTTTTCGTTATTTCTATCATCAGCTTCAGTACCATTGTATCTAAAACCTTCTAACCAGGCTAGATAAGTTACATGTCCATCATCTTTTTCTACTCCATTTTCACCTCCATAGCAATATTCATGATCGTAGGTTCCACTTTTTTTCAGCTATCATTGTATCATTATCCACTTTGCTGTCATCTGGTTTAATATTATGATCGTTTCCATTATACTCAAAATATTTGGTATTATCTGGGTAAGTTTATATTCAGCCTCTTTTACTTTATTTTCGTTATTCATCATAACCAATTCTAGTATGCCCAACATGAACTCTAGTGCCTGGGGCACTTGTTCATCATCGAGGATAATATCTCCAAAAACTTTATTGATGTCGTTTTGAACTTCAACGACTTGTTCATCAGTAAGATTTTTGAATAAAGTGATAACTTTTTTATCCAGAAAGTTCTTTTTAGGACACATACTAACAATATGGCCTTTCATTTTGCAATAAGTGCACCAGGTTTTCTTTTGCAAAGTTCCTAGAGATGGTTCTTGTTTTCTATGGTTCCTTTGGTCTTGCTGCAGTCAAATTGCTTTCTTTTTGGTTTCCTTTGGTCTCTGTTTAGGCGATTCTTGGTAAACTTGGTAAATTTCATACATTTTTTTTTTTTTTTTTGCTAAGTGTATATAAAAAAACAACAACAAAAAAAAAAAAAAAGTTAAAAAATTATTCCATTTTGGGTCTTTATATTAATCTTTTACTTTATGACGATACATTTTAGATTCAATGGTTCTTCAGTCAATTATTGATTCAAAGTTTATGCATCGATCCCTACGTATAAGTCTGTTACTTAGAATGAATCTTTCCAATTTACTGCTTCTGACGTATTGTTCTATTTTTCTATTGTCAAAATGTTAATCCTTATGACAGTTTTCGTCACTATTACTTAATTCTTTTGTATTTATTTGTAGATCTCTAGAGCTTATGTTCGTCACTTTTAGGATTTAATTGTCGATCCCTTTGACTAAGCTTTCGGATTATACTTAGGTTATGTAATTGCTAATTCTTGTACTTAAATGTTTTGTTGTTCCAAAATAAAAATTGTTGCTGATCCGGTTTTTCTGATACGTTAACTCCAAGGTTTATTTTATGTCAGGGAAGTATTTCACAATACTTCGCTTGTTCTAAAATCTTTTGGTGCTTCGTCCTTAAAACTTTATCTAACTAATTGTCTCGGCTTTTTTCTTCTTAAGCTTCGACTTTTACGATTGCTTTTGTCGTTCCGGCTTTGGTCTTTCCTTGTAACTCCGACTTTT